TACCAGCCTCAGCTCAAGTTGCTGAATGCAATCTTTAAAAATACAGCTTTTACATCTTTAAAAAAACATTTTTTTTTTTTTTTTTTACTTATTATTACAGCTATCCACATTATATCCTGGCTGTGGCCTCCTCCTTCATCTCCTCCCCTCATCTCCTCTTCTGCCCTGGGCTTTTATGTCCCCTCATCCAGAGCAGTGTGCAGCCTTGTTATATAGGGCATATTAGAGTTCATTCAGGACTTCCTGGACCTCAAACTTTAGGAAATGATTTAGCAGATAAAGCCACATGCTTGGTTGAATTAACTCAAGAAGAATTGGTTCAACAATACCATGCCTTACATCATCAAAATAGAGCTTAAGAAAGCAGTTTAACATTACCAGAGAAGCTGCTAGACAAATTGTAAGATTATGTTCTTGTCCTGAACATTTTAATGTACCTCAATATGGTGTCAGTCCTAGAGGATTGACTCCCAATAATTTGTGGCAAATGGACATAACTCATATCCCATAATTTGGAAAACTAAAATATGTTCACCTAACAATTGATACGTTTTCAGGACTTATCATGGCAACTCCCTTAGCAGGAGAAGCCACCAAACATGCTTTAAGTCATTGCTTAAAATGTTTTGCTACAATTGGTACTCCTTCCATTATAAAGACCCTGGTTCTGGATATATGAATCAAGCTTTTCAGCGTTTTTTGTGTGCAAATGAGTATGTCATAAAACAGGATTCCATATAATCCTCAAGGCCAAGGAACTGTGGAGCATGGCTATGGATCTCTTAAGAACCAATTGCAAGAAATAAAAAAGGGCAAGTTATATCCTCAAACACCACAGAATTATATTAACCATGCTCTCTTTATTTTAAATTTTTTAAATGTGGATATACAAGGCCTTTTTGTGGCTGATCGATTGTGGCAAATACCCTAATACCAAAGATAATTATGCCCAAGTGAAATGGAAAGATCTGGTTACTGGAATATGGCAGGGCCCTGACCCTGTATGGGGAAGAGGGCATGTCTGTGTTTTTCTGCAGGACCGCAGGAACCAGGTGGATCCCAGAAAGGCTGGTGAGATTTGCAGATGTTCCCCGGAAGGAGGATGCTCCTGCTGCAGACCATAGTGAATTCTGTCCTTTTGGTGACTGGAAAGCTGTATTGGGCTTATGCTCCTGACCCACCTTTGTTACATTCTGCTCCTGGGAGAAGATGTTGTGCAGAGAACTTTTTAGATACAATGTGACTGGACTTGATTGGTCCGGTAATCAGGATAATTCTCAACAAAATCTGGAAGAATGGAAGAGGACTGACTATGGGATCTTGGTCTGATTCTGGTTTTCAGCAGACCTCTATTTGGAAGCTTACTGCAGAAACTCTTGGGAGGCCCTGTCAGTGCCACTGTATTTCTAAGCTTTCAAATGGACAACGGGTTCTGGTTGTTTGACAGCCTTCTTTTATTATGGTTCCTGTGAATGTTTCTCAGGCTTGGTATTCTGATAAGGGATGACAAGTGCTAGAAGAAATGCAGAGCTTTAAGTAGACCTAAAAGAATGGTTAATTATTGCAGGTATCTTATCTTATCGTCATTTTATTTTATCACTTTTATGGAGTGTTACCGGGCTTGGCTCTTATTAGGAGCAGTGATAATTAAAACCTTCAAGGCCTTATAAAATGTTAAAGCTGATCTGCATAAGATTAAATTCTGCCCTAGCAGAGGTTGGTAGCCAATGACGGGTAAGATCTCTCTGAGGAATATTCAACCTAAGACAGGGCATGAATGGTGGAATTCATGTACTAAGACGGGTAAGAATATGTCTTGGAAGAGAGACAACCTAAGACAGGCACAATCTTCTGCTCCATAGCTCTTAAGCTATGGTCTTTTATTAATACATGAAAGAGGGAGACCTGTGTAGAGCTGCTTGTTTGTCAAGCTGCTTTGTTATCGAGTATTCAAAAAACACGTTTTCACCCTGGCCTTTACCTCGAGACAGAGATAAACAGGATTTTGCCAAGTTCCTTAAACTTGTTTGTGTGACCTTGGACTGTATCTGCTACAGGGAAATGGTTTAAGAAAACAAGTTTGGCAGTTCCATGAACTTCTTCCTTGTCTTGTTTTTACTTGCCTATAAAAAGGAATTGTGGAAAAAACTCGAAGCTGCAGGACTGACAGTCCTCTCCAGCTAACAAATCTCTTGTGTTATTTATTTCAATCCTCACTCCCCACTCAGATACTGTTTGACTCTGCTGGGGGTTGGGAGCTCGGGCAGGTTCCCATAGGCTCTTAAGTTTCAATGCTTGGTCCACAGTTGGTAAAACTGTTTGGGAAGGATTAGGTGTGGCCTTGTTGGGGGAGGTCTGTCACTGGGGGGTGGCTTTGAATCTGCAAAGGGCTGTACTGTTCCAGCTGGCCTTCTCTCTCTACCCCATGGTTGTGGGTCAGATGTGAGCTCTTGGCTACTGCTCCAGAGCTGTGCCTGCTTGTCTACCGTCATGCTCTGGACTGTGATGGTCATGGTCTCACCTCTGAAACCTCTGATTAAGTGCATTCTCTCTTAAGTTGCATTGGTTGTGTTTTTGTCACAGCACGAGAAGGAAGAGTAACTAGGAAAATGACAAATCTTGAAAAATTGAAACTTTATTTATTTTGGTTTCTCTGTGTAGCTTTGGCTGTCCTGAACTCGCTTTGTTGACCAGGCTGGCCTCAAACTCACAGAGATCTGCCTGCCTCTGCCTCCTGAGTGCTGGGATTGCAAGCATGTGCCACTGAGACCAGCTGAAAAATTAACTCTTGAATGAAAATTATTGAAAAATTTCAGGCTTTTCTTTACCTTTTAAATATACATAAAGTAGGTTAAGACCAGCAAGATGGCATAGCAGGTAAATCACTTGGCACACCAGCCTGACGACCTGAGTTTAATTCCCAGATCCATGTAAAGGTAGAAGAGAACAAACTCCAGGAAGTTGTCCTCTGGCCTCGAATGCACTGTGGCATGCAACCCACCCCCAGTAATTAATAAAGTTTTATTCTATAACTTTCATCACATTTCACTTATCTGTTTCAGGATATTGGATCCCAATGTGATCCCAGAAATTGTGAACTATTAAAAACAAAACAAAACAAAACAAAAAAACAACTGTCTTGTTTGGTGTGGTTCAGTCCTAACACACATCTTAGTCCTAGAACTTTCTATTTATTGTAAACAGAAATATATATATTATTATTATTATTATTATTCTTAAATATATAATGTGGCTCAGCGAGTCCTAGCACACACCTTTAATCTAAGAGCTTTCTGTATACAGGATTTAATAAAGTTAACCAGCTGAGCAAGAAACCAGCTGACAGGGATTAAAGAGCAAGAGGGACTTTAACAGAGCATGGAGAAGCTTTTTGAGCTCTTTAGCTCTTAAGCTCTTTGGCTTCTAGCTTTTGGCCTTTTCCTCCTGGGCCATCCTGAGCTCTTGGCCTTGAGCTTTTGGTTTTTTGGCTTTTTCTTTCTGGAATGTTGGCAGAGTAGGAAGGTCAGCTGGGTGCTTTCTCTGCCTCTCTGAGCTGGCAGGTTTTCACCCCAGCACCTGGCTCCTGAGTCTTTACTGGTAAAATAGAACGGTTGGGATTTTCATTTTTTAAAACAACAGATGGGCTTACTACTCACAGGTAAACAAGAAGTAGGGTCATTATGTACCCCTGAACAGGGGGCCAGGGTTCGCTCATCTCGGTTGAAGTTTCTCTAGCGGAACAGTTGAGGAGGGGAAAACTCCATAGACATTTCCACACACACTGAAACACTGGCACTGGACGAAGGGAGGCCCACCACCCCCTCTGCGCCTGAGCAGGGGAAGGCTCTGCCACCCTCACAGGGCTGAGGCCCATATCAGTTACTCTGGAAGCACTCCCTGCACTTGATGTCTGCCTCTACCTCTAGACTGACAGGCCACAGGACAACCTGGCTTCTAATTCTCTGCATCCTCACAGGGGTGTATTGTCTTATCACAGCTGTGTTGCTGAGTGTAAATGTGGTGTCTCACTGTGGTTTGTTTGGTTTTGATGTGGCAATCGCAAACAATAGAAAAGGCTAAATTACAGTTCTTTTTCTGTGTTTCAAGGTGGGGTCCTCATGTTCCCAGGCTGACCATGGGAGCGATAGACAGGTCAGGGACTCTGCTCCTTCTGCCTCCATCTCCAGAGTTCTGGAGTCACAGTTTTGTGGTCCCACACCTGGGTTTTAGTGCGCCCTGGGGCTCGAAGCTAAAGCAGCAAGCATGGGAGGAAACCATTCTAGCATGCAGGTGCATCCCAGCCGTGCTGTTTTTCTGTGGCAGCACTCACCTGGCAGGAGGATCAGGAGTTCAAGGCCAGCCGAGGCTACATAAGACCTTGCCTCAAAAAAACAGTACAATAAACCAGCCACACTGTAATTCTACAAGAGGTGAAGGCAAGAGGGTTAGAAGTTCTGCATAGCTAGTTCAAAACAAACAAAGCCATATAAAAATAATTTTTTAAGAAGCAGGGATATGGTGGCTCATAGCCTCTAATCCCAGCATTCAGAAGTTCCTGAGGCAGGGGAATAACTGATGGTGTGGCCTGCTAGCCTGGGTTATCCAGTGAGTTGAAGACAGCGGGAGCGACAGTGTGAGACAGTTGTTCACCCTAGGCGAGGTGAACAGATGGAGCTCTTACCTCAAGGTATAACCCCGCTGTCTTCTTCCCTGTCTTCCTTTCCACTTGGTTTCCTCTGTCGCTTTGGCTGGCTTGGAACTCACTCTGTAGACCAGGCTGGCCTTTCAGTGATGGGATTACAGGAGCTGTGCCTGCCTGTTCAGTTTCTGGTGTCCCAACATGCTCAGGGAGACTGAGTCCACATGGCACTTCCCTGCCGCTAATGGCTCTGAGTGGAGAAAAGAGCTCTCCCTGCCTCTTGTGTGGTTTTTGCTTGCCAGCTTGCCTCAAGTTCTCCACTGTTCAGTTAGAAATAAATACACCTTGAAACATACCAAAATGGAATGGAAACTGCAGCTTTATTGTCCTATGTCAAAGGTTTGTACTTTTTGTCGCATCATAAAATGAGGGAGCCCAGAAATCCAGGAGGTTTGAGGAGCTTTCCCCTCCCAGGGAGCGCTGCTAACTCTGGCAGTTCCACTCACCAGCCTTTTCCTATGTATTTTAAAGTATAACTCAGACACCATGATATATAAACTCCTATGCAGCTTTTTCAATATATCATAATTTCTCATTAATAAAAATTCCTTGTAAACATAATTTCAATGTAAGACTTTCCTTATTTGTTTTTGCTTTTTCTTTTTTTGAGACAGGGTTTCTCTGTGTAGCTCTGTAGTCTAGGCTGGCCTCAAACTCAGAAATCTGCCTGCCCCTGCCTCCCAAGTGCTGAGATTAAAGGCGTGTGCCACCCTATAGGGGCTCACTGGAAGATAATTTTACAGAAACAGTGTGTTTAGACACTCGACTGGCTTGCTTAGTTAGGAGGGTTGGTGTGTGAAGCACACAGTCAAGGCCACTAATCCCAAGAAAGGTTGCTCCTGAGACCCAGGGGTCTGTGCGGGGCGGGGCAGAGAGAGGGGCAGGCTCACAGGTCCTGGCCCAGGCGCTCCAGCTCGCCCAGGAGAAAGTCTATGTCGGCCTGAGACAGGCTGGGGTTGGCCACCACCATCCGGAAGAAGTTGGCCCGGGCACCATGAGGCTGGTAGCCAATCATCATGGAGCCCTTCTTCACCATGCGCTCCTTGAGCACGGGCGCCACCTGTGGGCAGGGCAGGAGTGCAGCAGGAGGCCGACCGTGACCACCCAAGCCAAAGCCGTCCCCCACACCTGCAGCTCACACCCTTTTCCCACCATGTGCAACCGGGGCATCCTCGGAATCCTGCTTCTTTTTTTCCACTCCATCTCTCCAAGAAACAGCTGGAACATCTCTCCAGCCAGCCTCGTCTGACCGGCACTGCCCTCCCCATCTCAAGCCTTCATCCCCAGCACCGTCTCCTCCTCAGTTCCTGACATGTTCTGACCTGTAGCACATGATCTAGGGGTAACTTACACAACCACCTTGGACACAGTGACCCCTCTTCTGCAGTAACAGCTCCGGGGGGCCACCACTGATGCTCCTTCAGGTTCCTGGGGCAGCCGGCACTAACCCATCCCTCCCCGCCTTCAAGGGTATGTCTGGGATGATGTGTCTGGGTTATTCTGTCCCCAGCCTCAGCAGTGGAGCTATTCCTTGTCTGTCTCTGGCCTTGGGTCCAGCACAGACATCTGAGTCTGCACGCTGGTCCCCCTCTGTCTCCCCACTCCCCCAGCGGCACCCGTTAAAAAGGAGGGCAAGGAGTGCTCTCCTGCACCTGGCATCTCAAGAGAAGCAGGGACATGCCATACCAGGCGCAGCCAGCAGGGGGCGGAAACACCTGCTGCTTAGTTCCCCCAACTGGGTTACCCAGAGGGCAAAGGCTAGCCCACCTGAGACAGCCTTTGGCTGTAATCCGGACTCCCCTTCTTCCCCCGCAGGCTGGGAGGCACAAACCAAAAGCACACGTTGACAAATTCGGGCTGAGAGGATGGATGAGGAAGGCATGAGCTGCGGAGGGCAGGGGCTATTTCCCTGTCTCCTCCACTGGTCCTTTATGAGGCGTCACACGTGGAACAAGGTGGGACCAGGCGGCCTACCTCCATGACCAACTCAAAGCCTTCCCGCTTTTTTATCTCCTCCACCAGGTACCTGGGGAAAGAGGTGGGTAAGGGCAGGGAAAGCCGCCCCGTGGAGGGGATGCGGGGAGGAGAGCCGCGCGCCTTCCATGCCTTCCATGCCTACCGGGTGAGAGCAAAGGCCTGGTCGATGCGCCGCTCCAGCCCTTGCCCGCCCTGCGCCTTCCACATGAGCCACAGCTTCAGACAGTCCACACGGCGACCACACTGCACCACCTTGTCCCCCGTGTCCAGGGCCACGTCATAGAATTTGTCCTGCTGGAAGAGGTAGCTGGCCTGGGAGCCATGGCAGCGCTTGAGCAGGTTCTGTGGAGGGGGTCAGAGCAGGCCTGAGGGGCTCAGCTCACCCTTCCCCTCCGGGAGCAGGCAGCCTGAGGACAGCGGCCGGCAACCCTGACCTCAGCTCTGGGCTGCTCCCAACACCTTCCTAGTTCTGCCCAGGGTCCCTCTGACCTAAGCGTGACCCACGGCTCGCCTGGGGGCTCGGCAGACCACGGGTGTGGAGCCTGGGAGCTCAGCAGGGTTAGGTGGTCAGAGACTGTGGCTTCAGTTGGGAGGGTAAAGCAAGCTTGTTAAGGGCCGGATCCCTTGGAGGCGAGACAGAGGAGCGAGGGCTCTAGAAAGGAGGGCTGCGGTCTGGTGAGACAGACGCACCGAGGTGTCCCGGAGAAGAAGAGCGGAGCACTGCAGGCCAGCGGCGAGAAGCTTGTGTGGGTTCCAGGCCACGGAGTCCGCCCTGGGGAGACCAGGCAGAGCTGGGCAGCAGCTCCTCCTGCCCAGCAGAGCCCTCCAGACATGCAGCAAAGGGCCTACCCTTCCCCAGCAGGCAGGGAGAGCCCCGATCTACCCTCCCTCCAGTCCTCAGTTAGTCTCTCTCCGCTCCCGCCCTCCCTTGTCTGCGACTATTGCAAGGACCAAGGATGTGAAGGGAGGGTCCAGGCGGCTGTGTGCACCTCTGGATCCCGTCCAGGAGACGCCTGTGAGTCCGAGACAGCAGGACACTCCCACCCCAGGCGGCCTGTGAAGCAGGAGGAACAGGGTGGGTCTTGGCCTCAGTGTTGCCACCCTACTCTACCCCCTGGACCCTAATCTCACTCACATCCACGTGCAACCAGAGTCCGTGGCGCTGGCAAATGTCAGCAATTGCATCCAGGGGGTCAAAGGCCCCTAGCACGGTGGTGCCAGAGGTGGCACTGACCAGAAATGGCACAGAGCCCTGTTGCCAAAAGGGAGAGAGAGGACGGAGCTGCAGAGTCCCTGTAGAATCTGCTCAGGCTGCAGCTGAGCCCGTGCGCCCTGCACGCCCATCCCAACACTGTCCACCTCCCCTGCACTCTGCAGGCGGCACCATGAGGGTTCACAGACCTCAGCACAGCCTCCGTTCCCCGTTCCCACTGCTCACGCTCTCTCAAAACCCTTAAACGCTGGGCTGGGGACACAGCTCAACCAGGGAGGTGGACCTGTGAGTCCACATCCCAGAGTCCATGTGAAAGAAAGAACAGGAAAGCCCAGGCATGGTGGGCTGTGCCTGTAAACGCAGTCCAGGGAGACAGAGACAGGTAGGCCCTGGGCTTGCTGGCCAGCCAGCCCATCCTGGCTGCTGAGCTCCGAGCCAGTAAAAGACCACCGGAAAAAGCAAGGAGGAGGCTCCTGACAGCAGCCCCAGAGGCTGGCATTACCCCACTGAACGTGCACACGCACACACACAAACACGAGCATGTAACGTCTTCCTGGAAAGCCAAACAAGCACCAACACTGGGCCAGGCGCAGGGCCACACTCCCATGATCCCAGCACTCAGGGAGGCACAGGCAGGTCACTGCGAGTTCGAGGCCACAGAGTTCTGGTCTACAGAGCAAGTTCCAGGACAGCCAGGGCTATACAGAGAAACCCTGTCTTGAAAAAAACTGAACAAAGGAAGAGCCTCCAATGCTATAAAATGCTATATGTCAGACTGACATCAGATTAGAAATAAAGAAATTTTAAACTACTACAAAGAAAAGCCCAAGCACAGGCGGCCTCACTAATGAATTCTATCAAACATTTAAAAAATAAACACTACTGGGCTGGAGAGCCGGCTCAGCAGTTAAGAGCACCAGATGTTCTTCCAGAGGTCCCAGCGTCAATCCCTCTGTAAACCCAGCCTCAGGGAAGTCAGCACCCTCACCCGGCCTCCCCAGGCACCAGGCACACACGTGGCACACAGATGCACACACACAGGCAAGTCACACACACATACGAAAATAAAATTAATAGTAGCAGTTCACAAATATTTCCTCCCCCGAAACAGAATACACAAAACCAGCTAGAGCTGGGTCAGGAGACAGCTCCACACAGGAGCATGTGGCCAGCACACCGGGGCGGACAGACAGAGAGCCAACAGCAACCACCACACGAGTTAGCCAACGGTGTGCACACAGCGAAATACCACACAACGAACCCAAAGGCAGGCGCGACAGTGCAGGCCTGGAACCACAGCACAGGAGGAGGCAGGGGCAGGCAGACCTCCGTGAGTTCAGGGCTCCAGAACAGCCAGGGATACACAGAGAAACACTGTCTCAAAAAAGACATCAATCAATTAGTTAATTAATTAAAGCCCCCAAAAAGACCTGTGGAGATAGTTCAGTGAGGAGCATTTGCTAAAACGTTCAGTTCCCTGGGTCCACTCCCACTGCCACACATCTGCACATAAGAACAAAGCTTCAAAGAGCCCAAGGCCTGCCAGGTGTGGAAGCATACTTTGTAATCCTAGCACTAGGGATTTAGAGGCAGGAGGATCAGGAGTTCAAGGCCAGCCTGGGTTACAACAGGACTCTGTCTAAAAAACAACAAAAACCAAAAAATCTGAATGTAGCAATTTAAGTATGCTCTGTGTAGTACGACTTTGGTCTCAGCACTTGAGAGGCAGAGGCAGGCCGGTATCTCTGAATTCAGCCTGCAGTGAGTTTCAGGCCATTGAGGGCTATGTAGTTAGACCCTGTCTCCAAAATTAAAAATGGAAACAAAAATAAACTATAAGAAACTGGGCAGGTGGCTCAGCAGGTACAAGATGTTACATAAGAAGCGCTTGCGGCTTCCAGAGGTTAGCCCAGAGCCCACACTATAGGTAACTCTAGTTCCAGGGAATCCAAAACCCTCTTCTGGTCTCCATGGGCACTGTGCACCCCCTCCCCCCACAGACAGACACGTTACTAAAAATAAAAATGAACCTTGAACATTTTGAAGGAGGGGCTGGGAGATGCCTCAGAGGTTAAGAGCACTGGCTGCTCTTCCAAAGGACCTGAGTTCAATTCCCAGCACCCACATGGTGGCTCACAACCATCTATAGTGAGATCTGCTGCCCTCTTCTGGCCTGCAGGTGTACATGCAGGCAGGATACTATATAAGTAATAAATAAATCTTTAAAAAAAATTAAGTAAACTAGGGGATTGTGGTACATGCCTTTAATGGCACATGCCTTTAATCCCAGAGCTTGGGAGGCTGAGACAGTTGGATGTCTGTGAGTTCAAGGCCAACTCGGTCTACAGAGTAGGTTCCAGGACAGCCAAGGCTACAGAGAGAAACCCTGCCTTGAAAAACCAAAACAAAAAGATTAATTAATTTGAAGTGTAAAACCCCTGAAATGTAAAAAGAAACTCTGTGCTCTAGAGTTAGGGCAGAGAACCAAGGCAGGCTGCGGCAACCGGGGCAGCTGGGTGGCCGGAAGTCAAGGCGTTTGCCTCCAGGTCTGACAATCGGTGTTTGACCCGGCCCCACTGACCACCGTGCGCACACCATGGCTCACATGCATGCAAGAGACTGAGGCAAGAGGATCACTCTCAGTTTGAGGTCAAGCTGGGCTACACAGCAAGGCCCTGACTCAGACAACAGGAATGGGAAGCCACCCCCGGCTCTGAACCTGCCAACACTGACAGCCGAGTGCGAGCTCTGAGGATGGTTTCAGTGAGTCCCCGGGCTTCAGGTGCTGAAATTCCATACCCTCTGTGAAGTCCTGAGAGCAGAAATTTAACCCAGCTGTGATGCGCAGGGCGGGGCTGGGGTGGTGATGGGCTTGGACGGGACGAGACGCTGGGCCCTGCCGCTACCAGGCAATGCCTCGTACTGACTTGGTGCTCTTGCCAGCAAGAAGGCCATCACCGGATGGAAGCCTGCAACTGCGGGCCAAAGCAAACCTCCTGTCTTTATTAGTTTACCTCAGGTATTTCCCTGCACTAGTGAAAAGCAGATTCACCAAACCGACAAATGCGTACAACAGAAACCGAGTAATAATACATGCGCCTTCAAACACACTCACGCCACAACACAAATGGAACACAAAGCACGCTTCCAATGTCCCCTCCTGGCGGAGAGAGAGCACTAGGCAGAAGCAGTCCCAAGAGAGTCCCGGATGGGGGCCCTCCGTGGGGGTGGACACACACAAGAGGAAGCAAGCTGCCTCCCTGTCCCGCCGAGCCCCAGCTCCAATGTCCCGGTCTTGGCCACACCCAGCACTCAGTAACTCCCCCTCCTCCGGTCACTTCTGGGGGTGCCCTGCCCAGCTTCTGTCTCAGCTCCTGACTGGCTCCCGCCACAACACGAGCCCAGCTATTTTGTGTGAGCATGTGAGTGTCAGCCCTCCTTACACTAGTGAGCGGGTGGGACACAGGGCTTCATGGTTCGCAGAGATGGCTAGGAGCTGAGAGATGGTTCAGAGGTTGAGAGCACTGGCTGCTCTTCCAGAGGTCCTGAGTTCAATTCTCAGCAACCACATGGTGGCTCACAGCCATCTAGAGTGAGATCCGTTACCCTCTTGTGGCACACAGGTGTACATGCAGGCAGAACACTGTATACATAGTAAATAAAAAATCTTAAAAAAGACACATGTCTAATAAACACATGATTCTCAACATCACTCATCAACAAGAAAATGAAAATCTAAGTGTAATGTGCTCACTTTGCGCCCTCTAAGTGGCTGTAATCATGAAGCACTTGTGCCACAGGCCTGTACTCACAGGGAAGACGGGGGATCCCAGGTTCAAAGACCACCCAAGCTACGTGTGAGACCCCATTCCCAAGGACCAGCAGAGGGTCAGGCTCCCTACTGCTGGGAGGGAGCACTTGCCTAGCATGCATGAAGCCCTGGCTGACCCTCTGCAGCACTAAGGCAGCTATGACCGTGCACACGGTAATCCCAGGGCCCAGCAGGACAGGCAGGAGGATGGAAAGTTCAAGGTCATCCTGGGGTACACCAGCATGAGCTACCTGAGATACTTGCCCAAAATATTTGTAATTACTCTAGACAGCAGAAAAACAGGTGTGACTGTGTGTGTGCACATGTGTGTGTGTGTGTGTGTGTGTGTGCGGTGTGTGTGTGTGTGTGCTCGAGGTGTGTGTGTAGTTCAGTTAGTGCCTGCCCAGCACTCACGACACCCTGGGTTAGTCACCACCTCAGCGTGAAGCAGCCGAGGGTGCAGTGAGGTAGTGAGGTCAGGACCCTCATCGTCCTCGGCAACACAGGGCTCAGAGCGACCTGCGCAGGAGACGCTCACTCAAACAAGAACACGCGGCAACCAACGCAATGTCGTGGGCACGCCGGGAAATCAGAACACCACGGATAATGCGTGTGAGCTGGCCGCTTTAGGGAGGAGGCCGGAACCCGAGCTGGGCCTCAACAGTGATGGCTTCGCAGCGAGTCGGCGTTCTCTAAGCGTGTGGCGCTTGGGACCGTACCCCAGTGAGCAGCACAAACTGGAATCAGCAGGCTACTGTGTGAGGATGAGGATGGTGATGGTGATGGTGATGGGGGTGATGGTAATGATTGATGATGGTGATGATGGTGGTGATGATGATGGTGATGGTGGTGATGGTGGTGATGATGGTGATGGTGGTGGTGATGATGGTGATGGTGGTTATGGTGATGATGGTGATGGGGGTGATGATGGTGATGATGATGGTGATAGGGGTGATGATGATGGTGGTGATGATGATGGTAGTGGTGATGATGGTGATGGGGGTGATGATGGTGATGGTGGTGATGATGGTGATGGTGGTGAGGATGGTGATGATGATGGTAGTGGTGATGATGGTAGTGGTGATGATAGTGATGATTATGATGGTGGTGATGGGGGTGATGATGATGGTGATGGTGGTTATGATGGTGGTGGTGGGGGTGATGATGATGGTGATGGTGGTTATGATGGCTATGGTAATGGTGATGATGGTGGTGATGACGGTTATGGTGGTGATGATGATGGTGGTGATGGTGATAATAGGAGAGGACAGAGGTTGGAGACACTTCCCTTCTGGAGGACTGAGTTAGATTCCCAGCACCCATGTCAGCTCCCAGCTGCCTGTAACTCCAGCTCCAGGGTAGCTGATGCCTTTGACATAACTCTCCAGGCCTGCACTCATACACCCCCACAACAACACATCATTTAACTTTATAGTATCAGGGCTGAGACGCCTCAGTGGCTCAGAGCACTGGCTGCTCTTCCAAAGGCCCAGGCTCAGTTCTCAGCGCCCACACGGCAGCTCACAACTGTCTGTAAGCCCAGTTCTAGGGCGTCTGGACTAGTGGCCACATACTGGCCACTGCATGCTACACAGACACACATGCAGGCAAAACACCCACCACACACACCAGAAATAAACCAACTCTAAAACAGACCTTCTTAAAGAGGGGCGGCTGGAGAGACGGCCAGCAGTGAGACAGCACCTGCTGCTCCTGCGGTTCCCAGCGCCCACAGGCAGCTCAAAACACAGGGAGCTACAGCTCCAGGGAGTGTGGTGCCTCCTCTGGCCTCTGTGGGAGGCAGCCAAAGAGATCACAAACATTCGGGCAGGCTGGACACCCCCCCGAAACATAATACACAAGCACACTCCTGGACACAGCAGCCTCGGCCGCCTGCCCTGTGCGGTGAACTGAAACGCTCGTGGACCCTGCAGGTCTCCTGTGTCACCCTGTACACTCCTCCTATCTTCTCTTTGGCTACCTGGTGCCCCAGCGGCGGGGATGGTGGTGAAGATGGCACGGGGCACACATCTGTGGTCCCAGCACCACTACAAGCTTGTCGCAGATAAACACAGAAGCAGCAGTGGCGGCGGCGGCGGCTAATGTCGGCACGGCACGGTGCATGCAGGCCAGAAGCCATTCTAAGCGCTTGGCACACTCATTAATTTAACCCTTACAGCATCCTCGTGTCGTGACTTCTGTAGCACGCCCATTCCACAGAGGACGAAACTGACCAGAGACATCATAACTTATCTACCATTACGTCTCTTTCATTTCATGCTTTGTGTCCTGGTGCACAGCAGTCCGTGAGCCTGTGGTAATTAACAGCAGCCCTCTGAGCAGAGCAGAGGAACGCGGAATCTGCAGACACATCTAAAAGCTGCCTGGAAGCAGACTGCCCCACGTGAGGCTAATGCCCACCTTCTGCCTGGCGCCACAGTCCTCCCTCAGCCCACAGAAACCTTCCACACTACAGCCCAGACACCCATCAGCTCCCCACAGGGTTGCTTGGAACTCCAATTCAGAGCCTAACCCAGCGGCACGTCTCGCAGAGCCCCGATGCCAACAGGGGTGGACATACAGAAGAAGCACAAGGGCCCGAACCACTCTTCATGGGGGGGGGGTCCGCCTTACTGCCCGGTGCCCTCACCCACCTCAGCCTCGGCCACACTGATCTGCCTCTCCAGCTCCTCAGGGATCATCTTCCCTCTGAAAAGAGAACTGAGGGTGGAGAGAGTGCGGCTGCTCCAGACCAGGGGAGGCCACTCACAGAGCTGAGGCAGAGGAGGAGGAGGCCACGGGAGACCAGGCCCTCAGAGCGCAGGGCACCGAGAGCAGGAGCAGCAATCCGAAAGCAGGGCAGGTGGGGGAGGCGCAGCAGGGGTAAGGGCTGAGGCCACACACTGTGCCAAGCTAGGTCAGGGCCAAGTCGGCAGGACCTTCACCTCTCATCAGCCTTGACCACTCTGACACTGTCCGTGCCAAGTCCCAGGAAAGCAGCTCCCTTACTGACGGAGTAGTGGCACTGTGGGAGAACGCAGAGGGCAAGTTAGCATGGCCTGGCTGGGCCCAGACATGCTGGCCTCCTTGGAGGAAAGCACACCAGCCTGAGGGCAGCGGAGGGCAGCAGCAGACACACAGGGTCTCTGACTGAGCTGAAGGTGAGGCTCAGGCATCCAGGTCAGGCCTATGATCTTTCCTACCTCCTTAGAAGTGAAGAGGACCAAGGGTGGCAGGGCCCGGAGACCCCTCTGCTTGCAGTCGGGGTAGCGCTGAAAGCGGGCCAGGTTCATGGCATATATGTTGGAGAAGGAGCCACCTGTCATGGGGAGGGGAGAGGAGGCCCCTGACCTTTCCAGGCAGAGCTGACCAAAGCAGCAGGCATCACACCAGCCCTATGAATCCCTAGGTTCACAGGTAAGAACAGCCCAGGGTCAGAAGACAACCCTACTCCTGAGCCACACGACAGGCCTCCAGAGTGTCAGGCCAACACCGGGATCACAGCAACTGGGAAGCCTCCACGGCCCAGCCAGCAGAGGCACAGGGGACACAGACACTGCCCCTCCACACTGGTTACACAGAACTAGGAGAGGGCGGGGGCAGACCCGTGACAAAGACCCTAGGGAAGCCTCTTCTCACATACCAGGACAGAAGACCCCATCCCCCGAGGTCCATCCCACCAGGGCACGCAGCTTCTTCAGCACCTCCTCTTCCATGAGAACAAACACAGGCGCAATCTCATATGTGTACCTGCCAGGGAATATCGGGAAAGAGGTGGAGGCAGCATCCAGCTCAGTCTTTCAGCTAGAGGAGACGGGGGTGAAGTAAGGGTCCCAGAGAGAATGGTCGGCATCAGGGCAGAGCGCTCCCAAGAGTGCAGGGTCAGGGGGCACACAGAGGCCGGCCAGTAAGAGGCATGCGCAGCAAACAGTGGCAAGGGGCAGGCACCACTCTCCTCTCCTACCCAGAGGACTCTTTCCCATCAAACCCAAGTCCTTCGTGGCTCACTGGCTGGTGTTGAGGCTCTCTGTGATGATGCGCCCAGCCAGAGCATGGGGGTCTAACCCTGAGAAGAGCTGGTTGAAGAAGCGCGGGTGACCTGGGGAAGGGGCAGGCGGGTCTCAGGGTGGAGCTGGGTGGTGGGGCCGGGAGGTCCCCCTGCAGGTCCCCAGGCTCACCTGTCTTGACGCTGTAGCGGATCACATCCCGGCAACGCTCCAGGATCCTCTCCTGAGGCTCACCCTGGCTCTGCAGCTCCAGATCCAGCAGCTGCCGGAGCTCTTCTGGCTCCTTCCATTCACAGACCTAGGAGGAGAGGCCAAGACGCAGGGATCTCAGACCCCTGGCTAATACCTAGCCGCAATGTAACAGACACAAGGCATCACCCACTTGCAGTTAAAATAGGTCAAGGGTATTTCCACAAAAGTACACAGCAAGGGGAAAGGAAGGATCCAGGGTGCCGAGCATTGGAGTCAAGTTTAGGAAATGATGGGCAGGAGGAGGGAGAGAGAGCCCACCTTCTCTGAGGCACTGGTCCCTTTCCGAATGGCCTCATCTATGACAATCCCAAAGACGTCCCGGAGCAAGACTTCTGCAGCCATGGGGTCCCCATCCAGGGTAGGGAGTGGTTTTGAGTCCGCCATCTGGGTGAGATCTGTGAGCAGGGTGAAACCACTGTTTACTCAGCCTGTGTGCCCCACCCGGGCACAACGCGCCAGGCCTTCTGCCTGGTAAGGGACCTGAGGTCCCCCTACGCACACATGAGGACAAGGAGGGAAAGGCCGGTGCTCAGCAGGCAGACCGGGGCCTCGGTCCATCTAGGCAGACACACACCGCACACCGCTCACCTCCCAGTTTAGGCCTCAGTCCCCCGAGGCAGACACATACCACACACCGCTCACCTCTCAGTTCAGGTCGCTGATCTGAGCAGCTCACAATGTACACATGGACTTTCTGGAATAATAGGGCCAAGACAGCAGAGGGAGCAGGGCAGAGCAGGAGTCACATGGCCGTGGCATTACCTCATGACCCTTGCCCGAAAGAGAACTCTTACCGATTTGGGGCAGGACAGCGGTTAAGTTCCCTGAATAATCATTAGCTGGCGGAAGAAGGGTGGGGAAGGAAAGCAAAGCGAGAGCAGGTGCACATTCACTCAGGGAGGGGTGTGAGTGGAGAAGGAATTTGCGCTGTGACTCTAGGTGCCCAGGGAATGCCAGGGCAGCGAGGCCAGGGCATCGGCCCAAGAAGGGACTGAACGCGCTAGTACAGCCCTGCACCTCGGAGGCCTTCCCAGAACCAGCCGAGTTCCTCCTAATTTTCTTCTTTTTTCTGCTTTATGAGACAGAATTTCTCTGTGTAGCCTTGGCCTTCCTCAAACTGCTTTGTAGACCAGGCTGGCCTTGAACTCACAGAGATCACCTGCCTCTGCCTCCTGAGTACTGGGATTACAGGTGTGTGCCTCCATGCCTGGCTCCTTCTTTTTAAGGCTGCACGTGTCCCAGGCTGACCTCCAACCTGATATGTAACCAACAATGATTCTGAGCCCTCCTCTGCCTGCGTCTGACTCTCCAGGCTTGATTAGAGGAATGAGCCACCATGCCCAGTTTATGTCATCCTGGGACTCACCTGGGCTCGGTACACAGGAGGCAAGAGCAGCAGCAACTGAGCTACATCCACACCCCGGCATCCCTCACCCCCTCTCCTCAGACAGAGGCTTCGACACAGCCCCGGCTTGCCACAAAGCTAAGACCCTCCTGCCTCCTGCGGCTGACAGGCCTGCGCCCTCCAGCCACCTCTGTCCTGGTTTCTGAAGTCCTGGCAGAGGAGGTTGCTGAGGAAGCACTGTGTGCTGCAAGCCTGTTCCCTGGCTGTCCAGGCGTGGAAAGAGACAGCCCTGCCCTGCTGCATGACACAGACGCATGCATACAACAACAGCTCAGGGCCCGGGCCCTGACGAAGGACCCTCAGAACTGAGAGACGGGGTCCCAGGAGGCTCCTGTCTGGAAAGAGCTGCACTGGGAAGGAGGCTGAGACTTGGGCTGGGCAGGAGAAATGGAGGGCCTGAGCAGGAGGTGAGACGCCACGGGCCAACACAGGGACAAGCAAGGCTGCTCTTGACTCAGGCAGGGACTGGCCAGCTGGGATGGGGGGGGGAGGGCAAAGGCGAGTGGGATATGGTGAGTCTCGAGCATCAGCCAGACCTAGGGATTTCATTTTAGCCTGCAGAGAGTTGCCAGGGCACTCTGTAGCAAGTCAAATAGTTAAGCTGATGCTGAGAGCTAGGCGTGTTGGCTCAAGCAACCACAACTGGAAGCAGAGGCAGGAGGATCATAGCAAGGTCCAGGCCAGTTCACACTACATACAAAGACCCTGACTCAAAAAGACCAAAACAAAGTAAGAATGAGAATGGAAATGGGAAAGATGATCTGGGCACGGTGGCACACACCTCTAATCCCAACACCGGGCAGAGGCAGGTGATCTCTGTGAGTTCAAGGCCAGCCCGGTGTACAGAGTGTGTCTAGGACAGCCAGGGCTGCACAGAGAAAACCAAAAGTCAAAACAAAAGAAACACAGCGCTAGAAACAGATAAACCGGCGGCCACGATGGTTCAGCAGGTGAAGGCACAGCCGTCAGGTCTGCCAACCTGAGCCGGATCCCAGGGATTTACAACCTGAGCCGGATCCCAGGGATTTACAAGGTAGAAGGAGAGAACAATCTCCTCAAAACTGTCTTTTCACGTCCACATGTCTGTCCCACATACCCACACACATATGCACGCGCGCACGCACACACACACACACACACACACACACACACCCATGCGCACATACACACAAGCAAAAGGAAAATGTAATTAGAAAAAAGGAGGCTGTGTGATGGCCCATGCCACGTAGGGTCAGGCGGCCGACAGGACTCCACTGAGCCAACCCTTCCGTGCCCAGGAACGGCTGGCAGCTGGGAGGCCACGCAGGGAGCTCCACACACAGGAAGGAGCCTCAGCCGCCTCCCCAGATGGGCTCTCAGAGGGGAGCTCTTGGAGGCCTGCCGACAAGAAGCTGCCTCTGTGGGCGCTGGGAGCAGGGCTTCCACTGTCCCCACTGTGACCAGGAAGCGCCACAACTGAGTGTCCTCCATCGCACCTCACCGCCTTGCTGACATGCCATTCCTAGTCATTCCTAACAGATTATCTGAGTTCTTTAAAAAAGGGGGGGGGAGGGCAGGGGATAGAGCAGAGCCAACACCCAAGGACACCAGGCATATGTGGTGCTTGCATGTACACGTACACACACACACACACATACACACACACACACACACACACACACACACACACACACACACTACATGCAGACAAAACATCCATAAAACTGAGGAAAGGAAAATTTGAAAGGGAGGGTGGGGGAGATGGCTCAGGAGTTGAGTGCTTGCTGCTCTCTCGGAGGGTGGGTGCGACATTCCCAGGCCCCGCCCTGGGTAGCTCACAGCTCCCTGTAACTCTAGCCCCAGACACCCACTTCTGGCCTCCAACAGCACCTCCATATACACGCACATACACACAGAGAGAGACCCACACGTAAATAAATAATAATCTTTTAAACTAAAAAAGCATAGTTAGCCCAACTGAGGGGGGGGGAGCGAGGGCGGGGTGACTCCTGCCTTGCACGCAGGATGGCTGTAACCCTAACACTCAGGAAGCAAGGCAGAAGTATCAGAAGGTCAAGGTCACCCTCAGTTACACATGGCTGCCACGTCAGGCTGGGATACAGGACACCTTGCCTCACCTCCACCAACAGAAAAGACAGACAGGAAAGGAAAGCACTTGATTTAAGCAGCAGACCACAGGCGCGCACAATGAGAGTCTGAAGCAACAAGCTTCAGAGTAACAATGTTTCAGTGCAAATCAGACAATCCAAGGGAAGAAAACGTCAAGAAGGAAACACAAACCAACTCACAGAGAGGCCCAGAGCGCAGCAAGCTCCTCCAGCACAGAAGGCAAGTGAGGGATTCCCACGGCCGTAATTAATTCAGGTGTCTACAGAGGGGAGACACCGGCCACCACAGACACCCAATCTCGGGTGCCCTGCAGCGGCTATTTCAAAAACTTCCCAAACTCTTGGCCTGCTGCTGTCCTCGCTCCCTCCCTCCCCCATCTCAAATTTCTTAAGATAAATTAATAGCTAACAAAGCTTACTCAACAGGGGCCATGGAGATGGCTCAGCAGATAAAGGCTCTCGCCCCAAACCCAACCATCCCTGAGTAACCCATAGTCAGAGCGTCTCCTTCCTGCAAGTTGTCCTCCGACCTCCACCTACAAGCCAAGGCACGCACAGGCATGAGCACACACACACACACCCCCCACAGTAAATAGAAAAATGTATTTTAACATTTTTTTAAGTTAAAGAAGGAGACAAAACTCAGCCTCCTGTATCCTGCACTCAAAATCTCATTCACTCCATGTTTAGTCAGTACCCAGGGCACGCCACATTCTTTGGTGGCCGCAGAGGAGGGATATGAATTCACAACCACGGGAAAGATGAGAAGCTACGGTATTTTTAAAAACTTTAAAAATTAGGGACTAACTCAGGCAAGGTTATGTACACATTTAATCCCAGCACTCTGGAGGCAGAGGCAGGCAGATAGATCTCTGAGTTTGAGGCCAGCATGGTCTACAGAGTCAGTTCTAAGACAGCCAGGGTTACACAGAGAAACCCTGTCTCAAAACAAAAAAACAAACAAACAAATAAAACAACAACAAAAGCAAGACTGTCTCAAAAGTCCACACTAATAGAACAAAAGATCTCATCCTAGACTGTTCTCATTCTTTCCTTTACGGCCATGTGCACGAGCAACCGTTTCATTGGTTTCCTGGGTTACTGCAAATACTAACAAATGTGAATGTATTCTCTCCCTTTTTCCCACAAACAAAACATGGGTAATCTTACTCTGGTATGCACAGAACTTCCTATTGCTCCTTAATTCAAAGCTTTATGGAGACAGAGCTTACACGCCACACAGCACACTCTGGTGTGGCCTGGCCACAGACTCGTACAATCACCCCCACCGCCTGCCTCTAGGACCTATTCCTCCCAACGCCTCTGGCAACCAGTCCACTTTCCATTTCCACAGATGTGTCTGTGCTCTGCAGGTTTTCAGAAGCTGCTGAGTCGGCTCAGCGGTTAGAGGGTTAGAGGGTTAGAGAGATGGCTCTTCTTGCAGAAGACGTTGGGTTCCTAGCGCCCGTGTCAGAGAGGCTCCTAACCTGCTCCACTGGTCCCATGCCCTCTCTGCATGCAGGCATAGTCTTTTCTTCTTTCAGATTTATTCAATGTGCACTGGTGTTTTGCTTGTCTGTGCGAGGATGCTAGATCCTAGAACTAGTGTATAGACAGTTGTGAGCTGCCATGTGGGTGCTGGAAACTGAACCCAGGTTCTCTGGAAGAGCAGCCTTAACTGCTGAGCTCCACCCCCCTTTTAAAGAAGCATACTCTATGTGGGGTCTGGTGACTGGCTTCTTTCACTTAGCACACTGCAGCATGAACCAGTATTTCACTCCTTTTCATGAGTGGATCATACTCTTGGTTTATATTGCACTTCATTTGGCCATTTACAAGTTCCTAAATAGTCACTTCTGCCATTTGGCTACGATGAATAATGCTGCTATGAACATTTGTGTGCAAGCTCTTGTGTGAGCATGTATTTTTAATTCCCCTGAAGACATTTGTGGTGGTAAAACTGCTGAGTCACATGCTAACTGTTTAATCTTTTGAGGAATTGCTGAATTGTTTTCCAAAATAAATAGTTGCCGCTTTACAGTTCCCACAAGCAATGCATGAGGACACCAGTTTCCATACTTTTGCAGGGACTTGTGACTGTCTGTCGTTTCTGCCATCTTATGTTTGACAGGGGCCAACATTTATAAAACATGTACCAGTGTATGAAAATGTTCAACTAGCAAGGTGGCTAATTGGATTGAAGGTGCTTGCCAGCACGCCTGCGCACCTGAATTGAATCCCTGAACTCCACACAGGTACATGGAGGGAATTTAC